GCTGTTCAGTTGTACAAACTGACCATAGTAGATTTGTTTCTTACCAATCACAGAGCCAGTTTTAGCCATTAGCTGATTACTGCAATATTGTTAATTAAAGACAATGTGAGTGATATATATTGTATATGATTGATTGTTGAAGTTAATATGAAATAAAAACAAACATGCCTATCCGTAAAAACCCATGTTATGGATCGAGGTAACTGCTCAACCAATGGAAGCTCAACACATGGTAATTTAACCTTTTCATGAGGAAAATTATCGTTAGAATCAGCAAAAGAGGAGGCATTGAAATAATGGAGTGGTACTTTCATTCTCCAAGAAAGCATATTGTTGTTTATTCCATCAGTATCCTCTGCACCGGACCGAGTTAAGGCAAGTGATCTATGGTGTGAAACGTGAGCAGCTACACTCGGTTTGCATCTCAGCTCAAATGTATTCTGTTAAACAGAAATAGGTACATGAGTTTTTTTTTTTATGTTTTTGTATATATGTGGGTTCAGAGTTTTCAAAAAGAATTTGCTTCATTCTCTACTAAATATTCTTCATTACTTACATATATATATATAAAAGATTTATTTATTAGGGTTTAGACTTTACTCTTTTTGGTTTAAAAATTCATACCATAACCATACCATTGAAAATTCTTTGATTAATTATCTCATATCTTTTCATTTTCAACATAAAAATATATAGAAGAAAGAATAAGGGCCGGCCCTCATATTTTAAGGGTCCCAAATAGGTTTTTTTGGGTTCCTAAGCTATTAATTAAAAAAAAAAAATTTTGCCAGGTTCGAACCCACGACCAGAGAAGTTTTTGTAAAGACACTTAACCAACATAGCTACTAATGAGGCTCCTAAAAATAATAAACTCTCCGCCGCCGGCCCCAAGCACATGATTCACCAACTTCGTGTCAGGACCGGCTATGGAAAGAATATACATATTGAAAACAAGCAAAAATCTCTTACACTAATATGCAGAAATCTTTCTCTTTGGATTTGCTCTTTGACCTGATTCAAGTCGAGTGGCAAAAACTCACCATCTTCATGATTTCCCTACATAAAATCAGCAATAAAAGGTTTTAAAGCACATTCAAATCACGAAAATTATGCGAAAAATAAACCCGAAAAAAGAGAAGCAATATAGTTGATTTATACATCACACACCAACTATATGGATCATGGGACAAAATAACATAATTTTATCACAACTTTACCTTCTCCATGATCTACTCGCTTCGGATTTTCAAGTGTTCTCTGATGTTGTTGGAAGGGAATGCATGGGGTTTATATAAGAGGTGAAAAAGAAACCGTGTAAAAAAAAGTTTACAAGGAAAATTATGATATGGAAGACACGTATATAGAAGTGCATGGTTTAAAAAGAAAACAATATGAAAAATATAAGGAAAACTTTTATTTTAAATATATAATACTTTATATGTCATTTTATAGTTGAACAGAAAAAAATATGTCATTTTATTTTAAATATATAATAAATATATAATACTTAATATGTATGTGGATGTTGGGTTCTCTCTTAGATAGATGGTGTCTTCACCTCTCAAGTTTAATCTCATGGTTATGGATATCCTGGTTTAAACCCTTGACCAAAAATGTGGATACATTCGAATGTCGATGCATGGGAAAAATAAATTTTATTAACATGCATTAATCTCTAGCTCGGAAAAAATCAATAGATGTGTAAAGTTCTTTTTGTGGCATAAAAAGTGTTAGTATATACTTATTTATGTTAAAATATATTTTTGCGTACGTATGAATCTACCGATATTTTGTATATGTATTCTCTGAAATATATGTACCAAAATATACTTCATAATTGCAATGTTTCGAATTCTATTTCGTTCATATTAAAAAAAACTACTAATATGCGTGGGTAGCGATATGTATCTAGACACTTATGAAAATTGAAGTATATTGTCGTGAATCTAATAATTTTCACCAATTATAGCGTGAACGAA